TAGTCTAGTCCATAGCCTAGTCTATAGTCTAGTCTATAGTCTAGTCTTTAGTCTAGTCTATAGTCTAGTATTTAGTCTAGTCTATAGTCTAGTCTATAGTCTAGTCTATAGTCTAGTCTATAGTCTAGTCTATAGTCTAGTCATAGTCTAGTCTATAGTCTAGTCTATAGTCTATCTATGTCTGTCTATAGTCTATAGTCTAGTCTATAGTCGTCTATAGTCTAGTCTATAGTCTAGTCTTAGTCTAGTCTTCTAGTCTATAGTCTAGTCTATAGTCTATCTATGTCTAGCTATAGTCTAGGTCTACTATAGTCTAGTCTATACTAGGTCTAGTCTATAGTCTAGTCTATAGTCTCCTATAGTCTAGTCTATAGTCTAGCTATAGTCTAGTCTATAGTCTAGTCTATAGTCTAGTCTATAGTAGTCTATAGTCTAGTCTATATCTAGTCTATGTCTAGTCTATAGTCTGGTCTATAGTCTAGTCTATAGTCTAGTCTATAGTCGTATAGTCTAGTCTATGTTTAGTCTATAGTCTAGTCTAGTATATCTAGTCTATAGTCTAGTCCATAGCCTAGTCTATAGTCTAGTCTATAGTCTAGTCTTTAGTCTAGTCTATAGTCTAGTATTTAGTCTAGTCTATAGTCTAGTCTATAGTCTAGTCTATAGTCTAGTCTATAGTCTAGTCTATAGTCTAGTCTATAGTCTAGTCTATAGTCTAGTCTATGTCTATAGTCTAGTCTATTTAGTCTAGTCTCTAGTCTAGTCTATAGTCTAGTTATTAGTCTTAGTCTATAGTCTAGTTTCTCTAGTCTAGTCTATAGTCTAGTCTATAGTCTAGTTCTATAGTCTAGCTATAGTCTAGTCTAGTCTAGTCTTTAGTCTATAGTCTAGCCTATAGTCTAGTCTATAGTCTAGCCTATAGTCTAGGTCTAGTCTATAGTCTAGTCTATAGTCTAGTCTATAGTCTAGTCTATAGTCTAGTCTATAGTCTAGTCTATAGTCTAGTCTATAGTCTAGTCTATAGTCTAGTCTATAGTCTAGTCTATAGTCTAGTCTATAGTCTAGTCTATAGTCTAGTCTATAGTCTAGTCTATAGTCTAGTCTATAGTCTAGTCTATAGTCTAGTCTATAGTCTAGTCTATAGTCTAGTCTATAGTCTAGTCTATAGTCTAGTCTATAGTCTAGTCTATAGTCTAGTCTATAGTCTAGTCTATAGTCTAGTCTATAGTTTAGTCTATAGTCTAGTCTATAGTCTAGTATATATTCTAGTCCATAGTCTAGTCTATAGTCTAGTATATATTCTAGTCCATAGCCTAGTCTATAGTCTAGTCTATAGTCTAGTCTTTAGTCTAGTCTATAGTGTAGTATTTAGTCTAGTCTATAGTCTAGTCTATAGTCTAGTCTATAGTCTAGTCTATAGTCTAGTCTATAGTCTAGTCTATAGTCTAGTCTATAGTCTAGTCTATAGTCTAGTCTATAGTCTAGTCTATAGTCTAGTCTATAGTCTAGTCTATAGTCTAGTCTATAGTCTAGTCTATAGTCTAGTCTATAGTCTAGTCTATAGTCTAGTCTATAGTCTAGTCTATAGTCTAGTCTATAGACTAGTCTATAGTCTAGTCTATAGTCTAGTCTATAGTCTAGTCTATAGTCTAGTCTATAGTCTAGTCTATAGTCTAGTCTATAGTCTAGTCTATAGTCTAGTCTATAGTCTAGTCTATAGTCTAGTCTATAGTCTAGTCTATAGTCTAGTCTATAGTCTAGTCTATAGTCTAGTCTATAGTCTAGTCTATAGTCTAGTCTATAGTCTAGTCTACAGTCTAGTCTTTAGTCTAGTCTATAGTCTAGATTTTAGTCTAGTCTTTAGTGTAGTCTATAGTCTAGTCTATAGTCTAGTCTATAGTCTAGTCTATAATCTAGTCTTTAGTATACTCTGAAGTCTAGTCTGTAGTCTAGTCTTGTCTGTAGTCTAGTCTATATTCTAGCCTATAGTCTAGTCTATATTTTTGTCTAGTCTAATCTATAGTCTAGTCTATAGTCTTGTCTACAGACTTGTCTATAGTCTAGTCTGTAGTATGTAGTCTATATTCTAGTCTATAAACTAATCTATAGTCTATAATCTGGTCTATAGTCTAGCGTTATAAATTAGTTCTATTTAAAAATTGTAATTTTCCATGCATATTAATACAAATATATTAATGTTTTAGTCAACGTTGAAGAACAACAACAACAATCAACTACCACCACCAATACCACTACCACCAATTATCAAGAGCTAATGGATCAACAACAACAATTAGCTTCACCAACTCCGGTTGCTACACCCACTAGTACTACTAGTGGTGGCACCGCTAGCAATGCTACTCCAGCTTTTAGCTATGATGATCTTTTCCCAGCATTACCAGCTAACAATGCAGCTCCTATGAGTACAACTACTGGACCACCAGTTGTACGTGTAACAAGCACTCAAAAGACTCAGGTAAATGAAAAAAAACAAACAGCAATAAGAAAAAACATTTTCAACAAAATACTAAATAAACCACTTCTATTAGGTTTTACATTTGGCTGGAGAAGAACGCAAATCGACCGATTCCGAAAAATTCGGTGAAGGTGAATCGAAACGTATTTGCCAGCAAATCTCTAAGGAAACTGGTGCTCAAATTGAAATCGCTAGTGGTAAAAATCAATCGCTTACCTTCCTTATCAAGGGCAAACAACCGGAATTGCTCGATGCTCGTCGCAAAATTCTTATGTACTTTTCCGCCCAAGCCAGCCGTTCCATCAGCATTCCCAAGGAACATCATCGTGTCATCTTGGGTAAGGCTGGTAAACGTCTACGTGATTTGGAACAATTGACCGCCACCAAAATCACAATTCCCTCTCAAAACGAAGATAGTGACATCATTAATATTGCCGGTACTAAGGAAGATATTGAAAAGGCCGAAGCCGAGATACGTCAATTGTCCGCTGATCAATATAAAAAGTCTTCGGATCGCATTTTGGTGCCCAAAATCTATCATCCCTTCATTGTGGGTCCCTACAATGAAAACTTGAATAAGATGCAAGAGGAGACCGGTGCCAAGGTGAATGTGCCACCACAATCCATGCAAAAGGATGAAATTGTGATTACTGGTGAGAAGGATGCTGTAGCTGCGGCCAAGGCTAAGGTTGAGGCCATCTACAAGGAAATGGAAAAGAAATGCTCCACCGTAAGTGTTGAGGTTGCCAAAGCTCAGCATCGTTACGTTATTGGACCCAAGGGCTCGACCATCGCCGAAATTCTTCAACTCACTGGTGTATCTGTGGAGATGCCTCCTCTGGACTCGCCTTTGGAAACAATTACCTTGCGTGGTCCCCAAGTGGCTTTGGGCAATGCCTTGACTGTGGTCTATCAAAAGGCCAACTCCGTCAAGTCGGTTGAAATCGATGCTCCCCATTGGATTCACAGGTATGTGATTGGTCGTAAGGGCGCCAATATGAAACAACTCGAAGAGGATTGCCCCAATGTGAACGTCAATTGTCTAGAGGACAAGATCAAATTGGAAGGCGACCCTGAAAATGTTGACAAGGCCACCAACTATTTGCATGAAATTATCAAAAACTATCAGGATAACTTCACCTTTGTTGTGATGACCGTCAATCCTGCTTACTACAAGCATATCATTGGCAAGGCTGGTGCCAACGTAAATCGTCTCAAGGAGGAATTGAACGTTAACATCAACATTGAGGAACGCGAAGGCCAAAACAACATACGCATCGAGGGTCCCAAGGAGGGCGTTAAAAAAGCTCAGCTTGAATTACAAGAGAAAATCGATAAACTGGAAAACGAAAAATCAAAGGATGTTATCATCGATCGTCGCTTGCATCGTCAAATCATTGGCGCCAAGGGTGAAAAGATCCGTGAGATTAAGGATCGCTACCGTCAGGTAATGATTGTCATTCCCACACCCCAGGAAAATACCGATATTGTGAAGTTGCGTGGTCCCAAAGAAGATGTCGACAAGTGCCACAAGGATCTCTTGAAATTGGTTAAGGAAATCCAAGAGTCATCGCACATCGTTGAGGTGCCCATCTTCAAGCAATTCCACAAGTTCGTTATTGGCAAGGGCGGTGCTAACATTAAGAAGATTCGTGATGAAACCCAAACCAAGATCGATCTTCCTGCCGAGGGTGACACCAACGAGGTCATCGTTATTACCGGCAAGAAAGAGAACGTTCTTGAGGCTAAAGAACGCATCCAAAAGATTCAAAACGAATTGGCCGACATTGTCACCGAAGAAGTACAAATTTCACCCAAGTACTACAACTCGATCATCGGTACTGGCGGCAAATTGATTTCCTCCATTATGGAAGAATGTGGTGGTGTGTCTATCAAATTCCCCACCAGTGAATCGAAGAGCGATAAGGTTACCATTCGTGGTCCTAAGGATGATGTACTCAAGGCCAAGAACCAGCTTTTGGAGTTGGCCAACGAACGCCAAGCCGCTTCCTTCACTGCCGAAGTACGCGCCAAGCAACAACACCACAAGTTCCTTATTGGTAAGAACGGCGCCTCCATTAGGAAGATCCGTGATGCCACCGGTGCACGTATCATCTTCCCTGGCAACGATGATGCCGACAAGGAAGTCATCACCATCATTGGCAAGGAGGAAAATGTCAAACAGGCCAAGGAACAATTGGAGGCCATCATCAAGGACATCGATCAAGTGACCGAAGGTGAAATCTCTGTCGATCCCAAGTACCACAAACACTTTGTAGCTAAACGTGGTGAAATCTTGCATCGCATCTCTGAAGAATATGGAGGCGTTATGATTTCATTCCCTCGCCCCGGTGTAGAGTCCGATAAGGTTACTTTGAAGGGTGCCAAGGACTGCATTGAAGCTGCCAAGTTGCGTATTGCCGAAATCGTTGCTGACTTGGATGCTCAAGTGACCATTGAGGTTGTCATTCCCCAACGTTTGCATCGCACCATCATGGGCGCTCGTGGCTTCAAAGTACAACAGGTCACCACAGAACATGATGTCAACATCAAGTTCCCCGATCGTGATGCCACTGAACCCGTTGAAGGTCTCGAAAACGGTACCAACGGTACAGTCGACGGTGTCGTTACCGACGAGCCCATCCGTCATTGTGATATCATTCGTATTACCGGCCACATTGACAAGTGTAATGCCGCCAAACAAGCTCTCATCGATCTTGTACCCATCACCGAAGAACTTACCGTACCCTATGATCTTCACCGCACCATTATCGGTCCCAAGGGTGCCAATGTACGTGAGTTCATGTCCACCTACGATGTACACATTGAATTGCCACCCAGCGATTCAAAGTCCGATACCGTTAAGGTAACCGGTACACCCGCTCATGTCGCCGAAGCCAAGAAAGCTTTGGACAAAATGATCGAAGAATACGAAGCCGATCGTGCTGATCGTGAATTGCGTTCGTACAATTTACAAATCGAAGTTGATCCTGAATACCATTCAAAATTGATTGGTAAACGTGGTGCCGTCATCAATAAATTGCGTGCCGCTCACGATGTCAACATCTCACTGCCCAAACGCGGCGATCCCAATCAAAGCATCATCACTATCACTGGCTATCAGGCCAATGCTGAGGCAGCTCGCGATGCTATTATGGAAATTGTTGGTGAAATGCAAAACTTGTACCGTGAAGTGATTGAAATTGACAACCGTATTCATTCGCATATCATTGGTCAACGTGGCAGAACCATTCGTAAGCTCATTGAAGATTACAAGGTAAGTTAGATTCTTTCGTATTTTGTGGGTCTTATGTGGGAGTAAAGGTTCACTATATAGACTAGACTATACTCTAAACTATAGACTAGACTATAGACTAGATTATAGACTATATTATATACTGGAATATAGACTAGACTATAGTCTAGAGTCTAGACTAAATTATAGACTAGACTAAACTATAGACTAGACTGGAATAGAATATAGACTATATAGACTAGACTATGCTCTAAACTATGGACTAGACTATAGACTAGACTATAGACTAGACTATAGACTAGACTATAGACTAGACTATAGACTAGACTATAGACTAGACTATAGACTAGACTATAGACTAGACTATAGACTAGACTATAGACTAGACTATAGACTAGACTATAGACTAGACTATAGACTAGACTATAGACTAGACTATAGACTAGACCATAGACTAGACTGTAGACTAGACTACAGACTAGATTATAGACTAGACTATAGACTAGATTATAGACTATACACTAGAATAGATTATAGACTAGACTATAAGCTAGACTATAGACTGTAGACAAGACTATAGACTATTCTATAGACTAGACTATAGGCTAGACAATAGAATCAATTAGAACCACTGAACACCCAAAATAATGATTAATCTTTGTTCCTTTTTCGTAGGTTGACATCAAATTCCCCTCGCCCGAAGAGGCCAAAAACAATCCCGATGCTGTCACCATCATTGGCAAAGAAGATGATGTTGAAAATGCTAAGGAAGCCATTCTCAACATGGCTGAAGACTACTCCCGTGACTACTTAGAAAACTTGCCACCCTCCCCACAACCTCAAACTGTGGGAGCTTTCTTGTCTGCCGGCACTGGCAGTGGCAACACCAATGAAAATGGCTTCGTTATGAAAGATGCTCCTTGGGAGAAAGCCGATAAGAAACAAGGAAAATCTGCACCCAATACTCAATCGCAAGAAGATTTTCCCGCTGTTGGTGGAGCACCCGTTGCCGCTGCACCCATCACCTCAGTATGGGGACCCAAAAACTAAAAAAAAGAAGAACTTAAATTAACAAAAACTTAACAACAAAAAATGAGTGAAAACATCATTGATAAACACACGAAGTAGGTGTCAAAAATCTTGAAGGTTGTCAAAAAACAAAAACAATTAAACAATATTTTTTAAATAATAAAAACAGGAAAGAAAAACAAACAAACAAAAGCATGATGTATAAAAAAGCAACTAAATAATAACGAAAATTTAAAGTAATTTCCAAATAATACTTAAAAGACATACATTTATCATTTTTTATACTTCTTGAAATTTTCTATTATTTAAAAATTTGATTTATTTTAAAAATTTCAACGAACATATAAAAAACAAAAACTTCCTGCACATTTTTAAAACACAATGTGAGGTTAAATTTGATTTAAACTAAAGATAAATAAACATATATTTGAATAAAATTCGAATAGAGGTCTATAAACTGACACTTGTTTCGTGCGCTTCCTTTAAACATAATAATAAAAATTAAAAAAATACAATAGATTTATTAAGATAAACAGAAACACACGAAGAAACCAACTCAAAAAAAAAGAAAAAACAAATAAAAATAAAAACTTTATATATATGTGTATAACAAACCATTCGAAATTATTTTATTTTATTAAAATAAAAAAAAACTAAACAAGACTTTGAGAAATTCAATAGAAAATTTTTCGTGTATTAATATTTTTCCACACTTTTCTTTTTTTTTTTAATAAAAAACAAAAGTTATGAGTTGAGTTTTGTATACTTTATAAAAATAATAACAATGATGCCAAGTTTACACTTAAACAAAACAAAAACCTACATACATACAACACATACATACATAAAATAAACATAACAGAAACATATATCATAATTAAAATAAAAAACAAATACTAAAAAAAGTAAAAAATAAAAATATTAACAAAAAAATAAATAAATCAATAAACATAATTTTTTATATATATATAAAAAAAAATAGTAAAACAAAAATTTGTCTAAAAATTAATTATAAAAAAAAATATTTTTTAAAAAAATTAAAAAAAATCTTTATTATGTTTTGTCGTCATTTATATATTTTTTTTTTTATTATTTTTTCTTTCTTTATGCTAAACTTAAAAAAATATATATGATTTAAAAATAATCATTTTAAATTAAAAATAAAATTATGCCTTTTAAAAAGTCATACTCCTTCTATACAAACAACAAAACTTAAACGAATTTCTTTTGAAAATTCTAAATACATATTATAATTTTTGTTTTCTTTGTTTCCATAAAAAAATAGAAAATTTATTATATTTAAAGAAAATTTAAAAAGTAATAATAATCATGCTTTTATTAGTTTAATATGTGCAATTTTTTATTACATGCAAATCATGTTTTTTTTTTGTCTCTTAAAAAATTGTACTTTATTTTGTTTAATTTCTTAAAAAACGTAAATTAAAAAAGAAGCAATTTCAAAACTTTATTAATATAATTATTATGTAAACATTTTTTATTTAAACATTTATTATTATTATTTTTTGTGTTTGTTCTACAACTACCATTTATTATTAAAGATTTAAAAAAAAGAAAACATATAATTGCATAATTTTTTTAAAGAAAATTTTTACTATTTTTTCAAAAACTAAAATAAAAAAACAAAAAAAAAATGTAAAATAAAAATTGTTTTATTTTATTAAAAAATATTCAACATAAACTTGACAAATTTGAATTTTATACCCTTTTTATAACATTAGATAGATAGATAGATAGATAGATAGATAGATAGATAGATAGATAGATAGATAGATAGATAGATAGATAGATAGATAGATAGATAGATAGATAGATAGATAGATAGATAGATAGATAGATAGATAGATAGATAGATAGATAGATAGATAGATAGATAGATGATAGATAGATAGGTAGATAGATAGATAGATAGATAGATAGATAGATAGATAGATAGATAGATGATAGATAGGTAGATAGATAGATAGATAAATAGATAAATAGATAAATAGATAGATAGATAGATAGATAGATAGATAGATAGATAGATAGATTGATAGATAGATAGATAGATAGATAGATAGATAGATAGATAGATATATAGATAGATAGATAGATAGATATGTAGATGGATAGATAGATAGATAGATAGATAGATAGATAGATAGATAGATAGATAGATAGATAGATAGATGATAGATAGGTAGATAGATAGATAGATAGATAGATAGATAGATAGATAGATAGATAGATAGATAGATAGATAGATAGATAGATAGATAGATAGATAGATAGATAGATAGATAGATAGATATATAGATGGATAGATAGATAGATAGATAGATAGATAGATAGATAGATAGATAGATAGATAGATAGATAGATAGATGGATAGATAGATAGATAGATAAATAGATAGATAGATAGATAGATAGATAGATAGATAGATAGATAGATAGATAGATAGATAGATAGATAGATAGATAGATAGATAGATAGATAGATAGATAGATAGATAGATAAATAAATAGATAGATATTGCCTTGAATCAAGTCAAGGCCATTAAGCCTTAGATACTCTGCAATATATTTTACTATTCCAGAAATGTTGCCCATAATGATTACAATTGGACAGGTTCATTCTAATTAGGTCTCGAAACTTGTGTTGCAAGGCTGCTACATTATTGCCCTTGTATCCAACAAGGTCTTATTGTAAACAGACTTAGGTATAGACTAGGCAATAGACTAGTTAATAGTCCAATTTTTTTATAAAGTAGAGAATTGTCCATAAATTATCCTACTCCATAAACTAGGTAATAGACTAGTTCAGAAACTAGACTAGTCCATAAATTAGATTAGTCAATAGACCATAAACAAGTACATAGACTAATTATTAGATTGGAAAAAGACTAGCCCTTACACTAGCAAACAAACTAGTCAATAGACTAGTTTCTACACTAGTCAACCGACTATGGACCAGTCTGCAACCTATGTCGAGGGACTTTTTTAGTACAATAGTTACGAATTTTCCATACCTATTCCAAATATACTCTAATTTTTAACAAATATTGTTGCAATCAACTAAAAAAACATTGTAACTCTATAAATAATTCTGCTGGTCAGCCCAATCTAAATATTATATTATTTATAATCGATAAATAGCATGCAAGTGTCAGCACTAACAAAAGCTATAGTGACATCCCTAGTTATTGTTGCAAATGAAAATTCTCAATTTAAATTAATATATTCTTATTAAGAATTTGTAATTGAAAAAGGTATAGATAGTATCTACAGAAAGTAAAAAAGATCTACAGGATCCAAATCTAGAATTCAACCTATCATAACTAACGGTATATTCTGTAAAAGAAAGATTTCGGTGACCCATTCGAAATAGGTGTTCTTTATATTTCCAGTTTTTATACTAAATTCCGATTTTCTTCCAAAATCCCACATTTTCACTAATATTCCGCTTTTATTCAATAACGTTAAAAAATGAAAAAACGCAGTTAAAAGCTTCGCCGGCTTACAGTCGAGTTTAAATCACCGCCGAAGCTTTTAATGTCAGCCACCGCCGCCTCCAATATTTGTCGACGCCGGTATCTGCAGTGAGGTTGGTTTTGTGAAATAAAAAAGAAAGAAAAGAAATTATTGTATATCTACAAAATTTGATTATAGAAATAAAAGAAAAGAAGAAATAAGAAAAGAAACAATTGCCTAATAATATTAATTACAAATTAGCAGAAGAAAAATATATATATTTTTTTACCAACAATCACGAAAACAATAAACTTTTGATACCAAATGGAGGACCGTAAGTCTATTATTTTTTTAACTATGGAAAAATATTATAAAGTAATGATTTTCCCTTGTGAATTGTTTTTTATTTAATTAATTTACTAAATATTAATAATTTTAGTAATATTATATGCAAAAATAATGTAAGATTTATGTGTAAAATGTGAGTCACATTTGTTGTACATACACAATATTGCAAATGATTTTAGATTTGATTGGTTTGTGTGACGTGCAGTGTGGTCTTCGGCTACTAGAGTGTGTAAGGGCATTTGTATAACTTGCGTGCCTGCTTTTTTTTAATCTTTGTATACTTCTTGTATTGTGATATTTAAAGTTTTCATTATCACAATTAGAACATTATGTACAATGAAATTTAATACTCACTTAAAACATTAACAAATTAATGTTTGACGTGGCAGTTTTTTTTAGTTTGCATCCAGCTTTTTTACATATTTTCCTTTTTTTTTGCTTGAAATGAATTATTAATATTGTTATTGCTGTTGATGGTGGTAGTCAGTCATATTGGCGTCAATTTTTCTTAGGGAAGAATACCCCTTATATTTAGTCATAGATAATTAAATGTTGTTTTCATTCTTATTAGAATTTGTACAAACTATTGATTAGAAATGAATTGGGTGCATCAATGTGATAAAGAATCTGTACGTTTGTCACTTACAACCGCATGTTCATAGTTTGTCCAGTTAAATGTTCTCCAATTGTGTTTTCATTGAGATTTTGCATAACACAAGCATTTAATTGAACAAAATTCTGCATTTAATGGGCCGCAATTGTACCAATAAATGATTTCACATATGTTTGTAAATATGTATATTTATTAAGTACGTTGGTAGTTTGTTAAGTTTTTGCTTAGATAAATGGGGCGTATATTTTGAGAACATGGAATATTAAATCCAAAAAAATACTTTTCTGGGATTAAAATTGCTAAATTACGTTTAGATTTGTTTAGCTATTATCTAGTCTATCGACTGATCTAATAAGGAGTCTATTGACAAGTCTATGAACTAGTTTATTGATCTGTCTAACAACTAGTATTTTGACTATTCTGTAGTATTATTTTGACTAGTTTGTGGACTAGTTATAACTAATCAATAAACTATTCTTTTGGCCAGTTTGTGAAACAAATTTTTTATGAAAATTTAATTAATTTAATATCTATGTATGTATATTTTACTTTCATTCTTACTTTACAAACATTTGTTTTAAAACACTCAAAATTTGTTTACTTTCATAACGATGGTAACATTTTTATATATATTTTCTCCATATGAGGTAATGATTAAATATGATTCATCCTTTTTTAAGACCATTTTTTTTTAAATCATTAACTCTTAAGATTTTTGTTGGAAGAAGGAAATTTCTTTTAAATTATTCGTTTATACAAATAAAAAAATGTATTTAAAGAAATTTGAACTCAAACAATTGACAACGCTTGTTTAGATTTCTATAAAACAAATGCTCTTTTCAAATGTTTAACAGATTTTTATGGAAATTCCATTAACTTTTATAGATTAGTGCATAAACTAATCAATGGACTATAGATTAGACAAAAGACAAGTTAATATAACAGTCCATAGACTTGTCCATATATTCAATAGTATAAAAGTTTATAGTATAGTTAATGGTCAATGTCCTGATATCCACTATATCCTGCAATACGAAGAGGTGCATCGACAACTATCTGAGTAGCCGTCAGTCGTTCGTTTAGTTTAGAGGCAAACGCTTAAAACTACGTAGAGTTAAATAAGGAGTTGCACAGGGCGGTTTCCTATCTACACTAT